ATCCGCGGCGGTCCGCCCGCGAGGGGTCGTCGGCACCGCCGCGGCGTAAACCCCGCGAAAAAGGGCTACGCACAGGCGAAAGCCGGGGCTGTGATCCCGCAGCCGCCGCGGCGACTCCCCATTCGCCCACGAAAGCTCATAAAGCGCCTTCGCAAGGCCGAAAAAGAGCGAGGAGTCGACGCGAAAGGAGCGACGGAGCGCCTCCCGTAGCGTGGGGGCCGGGGAGGGGCCTTCTTCCATGTCTTCTTTCGCCGCCGCCCTTTCCGCTTTTTCGCCCCCCCCTTCGCGTTCTACTTCGTCGTCTTCGGAGGAAGGGATCGCATGAGGGGCGGTGAGCGCGCGGTTCTGCTCCGCGGCATCCACGCAACGCGCGAACTCCGTCATCGTCAACCCCACCGACGCCTCCCCGTCGGAGTTCAGCTCCCACACCTCCTGTTGCAGCACGGCGAAGAAGGGGGAGTCGCAGAGGGTGAGGACGTAGCGTCGCCCCTGCGCGTCCGTCACGACGACGGAAAAAGGGGTTGAGGACGCCGAAGTCCACGACGTTGAGGCCTCCAGCCGCATCCGTTCAAAAGGAAATCAGGAATATTTTTGGGGGGGGGCAGGGGTTTTCTCAAGGATGTGGGTAGTGGCGCTGATGGGCTCGTTTCAAGTTGATCGTGCCTTGTGTGATGGACGACAATCCTACAGATCTCGTGATGGCGATCTTTCACCGCCCTCTTTTTTTTAAGGTAAAAATGATCGCAAAGCAAACCAAAAAAAAGCAATTTTACGTGCCCCAAACTAAGAGCAAATGGAGCGCGATAGGGAACACACGCGGACTTCGTCAATTGGTGAGTACGTCTTATATACATACATAGACCAACATGAACCGCCTCTCTCACCGTCCCCTTGACAAGGAAGGCTCAAAGTACGGCGAATCACACACCGCTGCTAAGAGGGGAGGGGGAGTTTAAAACGATCAGAGAGAACAAAATGGTGCTAGGTGAAACCAAACAAAGGGGATAAAAGGGAGTTGATTGGAATGTTTTTTTCCGAGAGGGATAAATGGTCATCCAAAAACTGAAAGAAAGCAATTGGACAGTTTTTATGTCGAATTGACCTAAAGTATCTGAGTTAATATATATATGTATATATATATATGGTCATATGTATTATCGAGGACGAGTATTGTATTATATAATAAGGGCAAGAATCGCAAACAAGCATCTAATCCCACCGATACCGATCATGGGTACGGTTAGCTGCAATCTTTGAGTGTAGTGAAGACATTTGGTTAACAATGAAGGCTCTATGATAAACAAAGTAGCCCCCCAAAAAACAATAAATGAGTGACGAACACCCTTTCCACATAACCTTAAATTTTGCTGGGCTCTTCTTTGACTTGAAAATCTTCTTTTGCGCCCTCTTTTTTTCGCGTAACTAAGGACAAAAAGGCATCTGGAGTGTACTTCCACAAAAGCTTCGCGTACATAATCTCAGGGGGAACTTTCCATTCATTCAAAGACGCCAAAATATCCCTATCCTGCGCGTAGGGAGCCTTTGAGAAGGACTGCGGGGCTGTTGCGCGCAGCTCGCGATGTTGGATGAAGAGAGGATGATCTTCTTGAATGGGCTCGCATCGTTTTGCTTTCCGCAACCGACGCAACGATGGGATCGGGGGCTCTTCGCTATCCTTCTCGACGTCGCTACCCTCTCGCTCGCGTTTTCCTTCTCGGCTGATATCCACCTCAAGTGGCTTCGCTTGAGGACCTCCCCGCGCAGGGTTGTCTTTCCTCAACGTTGCGGAGGACTCCGTGAAAGCGCGAGATCCAGCGACCTTTTCATCTTCCCGCTTCACCTCCTCACCTTTGGTACGATTGGCAAAGTCTTTTCCGTCAGTGGGGAGAGGAGAAACTAAATCACCCGCCTCTGCCATGGCTTCAAGTGTACCCTCCAAGGCGCGCGGTGGGGCGACCGCAAGATGGGGATCAATTCCACACGCAACGCCCTCGTTCGACCCTTCCGCTTTCGAAAGCGTTTCCAAAGGCAAGGGGGAATTTTCCATAATGGCGGAGTTAGGATCCTCCGCAAGGGTCTCGCTAGCTTCTGGATTGTTGGACTCTGTTAAGGCTTTCGTTTCATCCATACTCGCCTCGAGCAAATCGGAACTTGGGGTAGGACTGGGCACTTTTTCCGTGCTATCTCTTTCGAGATCCATTGATTTTCCGTCCTCAAGAGGCATAGCAGCGTTCCCTGCAGAGGTAGCAGAGGATGTGGTGGAGGATTGTCTGCCTCGCGGAGCACTACGGCGACGTTGCCTTGATGAGGACATCGTCAGTCCTTTTCTCGCGCAGGGATTTCGTGTATTATCCTCTAATACCGAACGGTGAAAAGCGAATGACCAGTCAAAGATGATGTGTGTGATGAAAAATGTCAATGATGAGTGAGATGCCGACGATTACAACGCCTTCCACAAAGCAGCCATCAACATAAGTTCACGTAAAACAAATCCTACGATCCCGTGCCGTGCGGACGAAGAAATCGAGAAGGGAAATACTCAAATAAATAGAAATGAATGTAGATGGCCACAGTAAATCCTTGATAAAAATGCGAAGCAAAAATAAACAAAAAAACAGAGTAAAGAAGTATCGGGAATGAACATAATATACCAGGATAAAAGTGGGTCGTCCATTTTTGTGTTGTTGTTTTTTATGTAGCGTAACCATAATCGTCGTTCAATTTTTTTTCCTGTTAAGTGTGCATGCATGTGTTACAACAGAAACTCCATTTTTGTCTTACCCACAGGTCAGAAGCGTGTGTAGATTCATAGCACCAAACTCCAATTTTCAGTAAAGTTCACATTACATTAGCATGTTATGTGGCACCCCCTCGTCGCCTGATATTTTTTTTTGGTGGCGAGGGCGACAGTAGTACTAGTAGTAGTAGGGTGGTGGTGGGGGGGGGGGGGGTTATACTGCCCTTGATTCCTCGCGACTTTTTTTAAAAAAACGAGCAGTCCTCAGTTTCATAGGCTACCTGAAGTGGATCCTGCATGCCTCGCTGATTATTAAATCCGACGCCGCTGGAATTGCATGTACTCCTTATTCGTCAAAACCTTCCCCGTCCCGTCCTGTAATTCCTCCAGGTCCTTATCCCCGTGTAGCTGTTGGCGTAAGGTGATCGAGTCTGCCCGAAGCTGTTCTCGCATCTCAATCGCGGCGCGGATTGACGAAATCCCTTCATACTCTTTCAAATTTTGCGTGATCCCCAGGCGGCGGAGGCCCTCGGCGTGGCGTTCGGCACCAAAGTGCTTCCGAAATCCCTTCGGCCCCTTATAGATGGTCCCCCCGCAAACCTCACAGACGAAGACCTTTTCCAGCTGCTGCAGCTTCACGAGCCATCGGGCGATCGGGAGGCCGTCTTCCCCGATAAACTCCGGAGGCTCGCCGTTCAAAAGGGGATTCTCGGAGACCTCCTCGGGCTTCCCAGGCGCCCGCGAGCCGCCGACGTCGCTTTCTGGGAGCTCCTCGCGTAAATCCCGCGTCGCCTCGCGCGCGATCGTATCCTCGACGGAGTTCGCCGCGCCGGCATGCGCCATGGCGACGGACGCCGCGAATTCCGCCTCGGCCTGCCGCCTCGCGAGCTCGATCTCCTCCGGGGTGCGGCCGTAATCCCGCAGCAGCACCTTCTCCGTCCGCTGGCAGGTCTCGAAGAGGAGGGATTGCAGCAGCGCCGTGATCTGCGCCTCCGCGAGGCAGACCGCCTTGACCGCCGCGACGCTGCGGGGGAGCTGCTCGAGCAGCTCGA